GGAGACGAGACACGGGGGTGTCACTAATGAGGGTGACTTACCCTGTGTCTGTCCTCTCCTGTAGTGGCTGGGACCTGCTGGGTTCCTTCCTCAGCTCTGCTCTCTGTGCAGGCTATGTGCAGCACAGTTAAGTATCTGCACCTTTTACAGTGTAATATCTAAGTTTGCAAAGACATCTGAAGCACACAAAGTGGCTTTGTGGCTATTGAGGGATCAATTAAAGTTGTGTCTGGATTAGCAATTTCTATATGTTCTGTAGATATCTGCATTCTGTACACACACCCCCCAGCCACGCCAAATCAACATAACCTCATACAAAAGCCATGGATCCTGTGTGGCTTTCACGCCTCACCTTTAGCCATATGTCCAGGGAACCAGTGCACCACCTCACGCCCCCCAAAGTCATAGGGAAAGCGGAGCAGACTGCTAAGCCTCATCGTACAAGTAAAGAACCTGCTTCTACCTAAGGGGGGAGAAAAATAAATGTAGCACCAGAGTCCAACGAGTTTAGCGGTCCTCCCAGAAACAATGCTTCAAAATTTCCAATCACTCTCCAATCTTAATCATCATCAGATTATACTTGGAACTCCAGAGAAGTGTGTCTGGATGAAGAGGGTCATGTTTTCTTATCTGTCAAATGTAGAGGAGATAATAATGAAAGCATATCAGCCTAGTGTGGGCAGAATCCCTGCTAAACGTACTCAGCCATTACATTACCTCATCTCATATCACCTCTAGTTCCCCTCTTCCACGTTGTTGTTGTTGTTCTTCCAAACGTGGATCTTTTTCCTTCCTTCTGTACTCAAATACCAAGCCTCACTCTCACATCGGTGTCATGTGATCCAAGCCTCACTCTCACATTGCTGCCATGTGATCCAATCCTCATTCTGATTGTCATGTGTTCGAAACCTCACTCTCACATTGGTGTCATGTGTTCCAAGCCTCATTCTGAGATGGTGTTATGTGATCCAAGCCTCACATCTTCTCATGTGCTCCAAACCTTACTCTCGCATCTTGTCATGTGTTCCAAGCCTCACACTCACATCAGTGTCCTATGTTCAGAGCCTCACTCCAAGATCAATGTCATGCGTTTGAAGACCAATTCTCCGATTGTCATTGGTACATAACATTGTACAGTTTAAAATACTTCTTTATAAGCACTTAAAAACTGCTCTCATTTTTTTTAAAAACACACTCCTATGTATATTTTCCCCATGTGTAACTGTTTTTCTTTTACCAGCTTTCCCGGAACCCAACTACTTTGACTTCTTAAGTTGTTTATCAGGGGTACAGATTGGGGATATGATACTTTCTTTTATATTGCCTTTCTCATCTCAGGCCTTTCACTTCCAGTTTCCCAGTTATTTCCTATGACTGGGAGGCTGGATGTGAAAGTATAATATTGCCCATATATGTTAGGGGTAGGGTTGCCACCTGTCCAGGATTCACCTGGACAGTCTGGGTTTTGAATGCTGTGTCTGGGTTTCATGGCAACTGAAACCTGGACACATGATGTCAGGCAGACAGGGGCAACCAAAATTAAGATAGGGGCTACTGCCTCCCCACTGAAAATAGTCTTGACTGTGATCTTTACTTAGGAAAGTATATATGGAAAGAGTCCAGAGGAGGGCGACCAAACTCATAAAGGGGATGGAGGATCTGAGCTATGAGAACAGGCTACTAAATTTAAGTATGTTCTCTTTGGAAGTAAGGAGATTAAGGGGGGGACATGATTTCCATGTATAAAATGTTTACCAGGGATAGCAACATTAGCAGCAAACCTTTTACAATTAACTCCATGACAAGGACGAGAGGCCACCACCTAAAATTGGTGGAGAAAAAAATTTCAGCACACGAGGCAAAGGTTTTTTTTTCTCAGTTAGATCGGTCAGGGTGTGGAACTCGCTGCCACAGGCTGTGATTTCGGCTGAGAGTGTGAAATCATTCAAGAGGCGATTGGTCGATTTCCTCAGGGACCGTAATATACAGGGGTACAAGTACTCTTAAGATTGAAAACACACAGGGACCTATACATACTACACATCAGTAGGACCATACACATACACAAATAGGTTGGACTTGATGGACATATGTCTTTATTCAACCTCAAATACTATGTAACTATGTAAGCCGTGACTCATTTTTCCAAATACATTTCCATACGTCGCTAGAGTGTTCGGGTTTTGCTGAAAGAAAAGGTGGCAACCCTAGTTAGGGGTCATGCGCACCAGCATATGATTTCATGCAGGATCTTACTACATAAATCTTGTCCATAACCTGTAACATCTGTGCTAACATTTACATGTGTATAGTTCAAATGTACCTTATAGATTGTTAGGATGCAAACAAATAGGGTACATTTGCACTATAAGCATATAAACAGTAACTATGCTACAGTAGGGTAGTAAGAGCACATAAACAAGCTGCTAAGCAAAAAAGAGCAGTCGCGAGCTGTTTTTTATAATATACCGGTACATTCTTCTGCCAGCTCTGGAATGTCTTACCACCCAATCACTTGTAGAGTCCTGTTAGTGGCATCACCCCTCCAGAACCCCCCACGCATACACCTGCTTTCCATAGGAGCCCAGCACCGAAAAAAAATCCACTGTCAGGATGGAGATCGGAGGGAGACTAAGGATCCACGATCTCAGACTCAACTGAGGATCCAAATCATGCAGTATGCCATCCACATCTGATATACCTCATGTGGACTTCCTATGCCTTGTGCATTGTAAGAATTACAGACACAGAGATGACCTTGTCCCTTAGAATCTGGGTTTCAACAGCCATGCCATTCAAGTTAGTGACAAAGAAACAGGATCACAAACCAGGGGAGCAGGCAAGGTAGAAGCTTGCAGGGAGAAAAGGCATAGAATAGGGTGTACTGATCCCGCAGAGCCACTAGTGTATTCACTGCTTCTGCCAGTAGATCCTTGGACCTGAACCTGGAGGCAAAAATCCAGAGTTGCACAATTCTTATCTGAGCATCTCTAAAAGCTACTGTAAGACAGTGTCTGCAAGGCCAATAGAAGGACACAAGTGCCTAGGTGCAAGAACTGGTGACTGGAACTCGGGAGTGCTGACATCAGATGTGCAGGAATAGAGCCGTTTATTCACAGAGGATGACCAGGTTCAGATATAGGTGGGGTCAGGGCACAGGCTGGGGTCAGTAACAGATAAGCAGCAAAGCACCATATTGTAAGCAGAATCAAGGTCAGGAAGAAGCAGAGGCAAGAGTGCAGGCAGTGAGGTAAAAAGTCAGGGAGCAGAATCTTGGTCAGAAGTCCAGGCTACATATAGTAATGGAGGTAATTAGCAACCATTGGTATGCAAGGGAAATCCAAGGGCAGGTCAGACAGATGTCCGTTTAGTAACACAGGTCAGGCACAAAGTTTAAGATCAGAGATCACAAGTCTCAGGAATACAGCTGAAAGACCAATCAGCAATGAGCCTAGGCAGGTTCAAATAGCCCGCTTGGTGCTAACGTCCATTGTGAACATACATGCAAATGCGTGCATATGCACATGTGTATGTATCTCATGGGTAGGACCACACTCCACAGAGGGGCCTTGATGAGGCAGTGTGGCTTCCACATATTTTGCAAAAGTTGTGCAACTAAAACCTCTGTTTTTAACCTACATAGTTAGACAGTGTATTTTATTTGCAGCCTGGCTGGGAAATTTTTGTGCTATGTAAAGCCCTTCCATGTGCACCTTGCTTTAACCCTTTCGCTGCCACCGACTTAAAGCATACAGCGGAACAAAAGTGTTCCCGGCTGGCCAGCTCAGTATGCCTTACGTCGGTGGCATTTACAGTTCTGCTATAAGCTCATGGTCGATTTAGCGACCATAAGATTATGGCAGAACTGTTCAGCTGACTAAAAAAAAGAAAAGGCTAGTTGCACTCCTTACCGGTATGACCCAGTGATCGGGGAGGGGTGCTCGGAATGACTGCGGATGGCGCCGCCAAATACAGATAATTGCAGAAACGTCACCAGCACACCAAATCCTTGTAGGATCAAAGTTCGTAGATTTTATTGCAAACTCATGTCAGTTACACAAGCGCTTTGCTGAAGGGACCCAGTGTGGCCCCGAAAGCGCTTGTGTAACTGACATGAGTTTGCAATAAAATCTACGAACTTTGATCCTACAAGGATTTGGTGTGCTGGTGACGTTTCTGCAATTATCTGTTCAGCTGACTGTCCCCGTCAAAACAATAGCTGTCATCAGCGGCTCACAAGCCGCTGATGACCGCTATTACTGAAAATACCGGGCGCCCCTGCCGGCACCGCTGCTGTCGGCCGCCAGCATCTGGAGTCGCTCATCCCTCCCTGGAGCCACCCCAGGGAGAGATGAGAGACTCCATGGATCCCCGCTGCTTGTAGGATCTGTGGCAGCGGGGATCCGTAATAAAATCACTGGCGTGGGGGTCCCGGGAGCAAGCGGCGGCTGGCCGCAATTCAGGATGGCCGAGCGGCATAGTGATCGGAGCCGCTATCATCCTGTCAGTTTTTGGATGACAGCGGCTCTGTAGCGTGGCCGAGCGAGGAATCGTTAAATATCATTGATATTTAACGATCCCTCTGTTTACAGCAAACACCGGAGTGATCGTCTGATCACTCCGGTGTTTGTAAATAACTGGGGACACATAGTATACAATAACTGGGGACACAATAACTGGGGACACATAGTACTATGTAGTACTAGTACTTCGCCTCGACTGAGCCGCTCGGCCAACTTCGGTAGCTGTACGGGCTCAAGTGAATAGCCCGTACAGCAGCCCTTCGGTTCTACTCAACCGAAGGGGTCCTGGGGCCGAAGGTCCAGGGAGACAGTTCCTTTCTGATGATTGATGTATGATGCCACATGGCATTGCCCAACTGGATCTAACTGAGAGTGACTGACATTATGACTGACTGAGTGCAACAAAGCCACCACTGGGGCCAGCACCTTGGTGAATACCTTAATTGCAGAAGAAAGGCTAAATGAAAGGGCCACAAATTGATAGTGCAGAGACACTACAGAAAACTCAGCAAGTCCCACTGGTTACGGGAAGAAATTATAGATCTGGTTGATTCCACCCAGAATGTTTTGGGGTAAATGTATACAGTCAGGGCCTTGAGGTCCGAAATGCTACAAGAATCCTTCATTCAGTCCATTTGGCCTTTTGCCCTCTGAAGCAAAGATCAAATTTGCTACTGCATATAGCAGTTTACTGTAAAAAAAAAGAAAAAAAAAAGGGATTTTTGTACTTACCAATGGGTTTATAGCATCACCTTCAGGAATAGGACACTAGGCACAAAACAAAAGCTCGCCCTAGGGGCGGACCCTGACGGTGGCCAAACCCCCTAAGAGTTAGAGCCTGTTCAGTTAGTCACAAGTAGTTACAGTAGTACAAGGCATTACATAGAACAAATACTGGCAAAACATAACAACCAGAAGGGTGGGTACTGTGTCCTTCAATGAACGCAGAGAAAAGGATTTTACGGTGAGTACAAAAAAAACTAAGCACAGGCATGAGACATACTGGAGGAAAAAAAGAGAAGTGCCTGCAGACATCGGTC